GCTATGTGAAATGACCATTTTACCCCTAGCCAAGTATGCTTCCCATTTTAAAAACTTAGCTTCCGCATTTGTTTCCTTTAAGTCTCATGGCTTCTCGAGAAGTCACTTTGGTATCTTAGAGATGATATTAGTCACTAGAGACCCTTTCTCTTTTCTTGCTTCTGCATTCGGGATCCGTTGTCGGGTCAACTTTCGGGTCATCACTGATGTACCGGGTTTGTAAAATTAGGGCTGTCAGAGATGGTATCAGAGCATCCAGGTTTGAAAACCTTTGGATGATGGGTTTTGGGTGCATATCATGCTTGTGTTAACATGCTCTTTGTGTTTACGTACTACTTGTTAACATATTTTGATTTGATCACATATTGGAGTGCTTAATTGCTTAACTGTTTAGAAGCATCTTTTGATTGGCAAACATGCTCGTATACTTATGTGTTTAAGTGTTTAAAAGCATTCCTTAATTGTCTTAGCATGACTTATAGACTCGTTTACCTTTTATGCCTTGTGTTTTGTGCATTCCTTTGACGAGTTGTGTTTCGTCACGAGTGCTTGAAGATGAATGATCATCCTTCCTTGCCACTCATCATGTCTTGGACTTAGATGGCTTTTAGGATGTGAGAGAATTATGGAGCTTCTCATCTTAGGTTTCTTGTATTGTTAAGTGCACTTGTTTTCCTAAGAGCATGTTATTTATTGCTTACGTTATCTATCTTGATTCTTACCTGCTTATTTTGTGACAAAGCATATTGTAGGTAGAGTGTTTATTACTTATAGAGGTATATGATCTTATTGACATGTAGTATGCTAAATGTTTAGTACGCCTATGTGTGTAAATGAATTTATCCTATGTGTTTAACATGATGGTAGTAACAACGTGAGATGCTTTAAATTTACCTTGTTTCTTGTTTTACTTTCGTGTATTGTTCATGCTCGGTCGGGTGAGATTAATGCTAAGGCATTATTTCTTAGAGTCCGTAGTACCCTTAGTTAAGTCCTTGCCTTGTGGGATTCCTACCTTATGTAGGGGGGATTTATTTTGTAGGCTCTTCACGTTGGGAGCCCTTTTGTCTATTTTGACGTCTTAGTAGTTTTGATGTTATGGAATAGTAGTGATGTTTGAGTCGAGTAATTAATTTCATGAGTCTGATTAATCACTTGCTCTTATGTCGTTAAAGGGTGTAGGTATGATGGATGATGAATTCGAGTCGACGGGAGATGTTACTACGGATAGAGCTTGGACTGTCTTGCTTAGCTTCATAGAGTTGAAGACTCTTTTGTTTTCAGGTAAATCAGGATCCTTGGAGGCGATCCAGTGGGTGGATTAGATCTCGAAGACATTTAGGATGCTGCAAATTGAGGATAGAGACACGAGGGTTAGATTTGCCGCGTCACAGCTCAGAGGCGTAGCGGACATGTGGTGGAAGTCGATTACCAGTACTCGCATCATTGAGGGAATGGACTAGGAGACTTTTCAAGAATTGTTTCTTGACAAGTACTTAACAAGTACTTCCCAGTGACAGTTAGAAATAAGTTAAGGAAGATGTTCATTGCGCTGATTCAAGAAATGATGAGCGTTACAAATTATAGGATGGAGTTTACCTCCTTGTCTCGCTTTGCATTGTAGGTAGTACAGACGGAGACCTTGAAGGTCAATAAGTTTGTGGATGGCCTTAGATTTGGCACAAGGAGGAAGATCGTGGCTTTGGTTTTCCCTACTTACTCAGTAGTGGTTGAGAGGGCATAATTGATTGAAATGGAAGATTTGGCAATAAAAAGGATTAGATAGGCAAGGAAGAATAAAAGGAAAGAGAAAAGGGAGTTGGTTTTGCATCGTAGTAACGGGAGCTTCACCAGTGGTTGGAGCAGAGATATGTCATAGGTGTGGTCGGACGGGACACTTCAGGCAAAAATGTCCCTTAAAGAAGGATGGTCATGGCACCTTTGGGTTGTATTAGTACTTGTGGAGTCTCGGCTAGACTCATTTGTGTTTTGGGGTACGTTTTCTTCCTTGTGAGGTGGTCATTTTGAGAGGCATTTCATTCTTTCATTTGATTACGTGGCATTATTTTTATGTTGTCACCCTTATATGTTTATGTGCTTTACCGCTTGAGTATGCCTTAGAGACATTTTTAGGATATGTGACTATATAGTAGTTTGTGTGATGATATAGGTGATGCGTTTTTCATATACTACATCTATTTAACATGCTTATATCATTAGTGATGTGGTCGTTGCTTATTTGATCCCTGTAGGATAGGTAGATTATTTGATTTCCTTATATGTATGGTGTACATTAAGGTGTTGTTTGATTTGTGTGATCTGATGTTGTGAGTATGTGCTACGTGGGTGTCGAGTACATACATGGGTATATTGTGTTGCATTGGAATTGCATACATAGTGTACATCTATTTTAAGTTTGTGACTTAGTCACTATATATATGTTCGTTTTAGGATAAGGGACATGGTCCTGAGTTATCTTTTTTTGTCATCTTTTTCATTATGACATGGGTTCATAACTGCATACTTTCTCTAGTTCATATTATTTTATCATTCATGCATTGATATTTGGGGTTATGTGATCTTGGTTGTCGAGATTGTGATGTGTGAATTACGTGGTAGACTTGTGTTTTGGGGATTAGTTGTTTCTAATAGGAATTTTGTTCCAGTTTGATGATAGGTGATTATTTTGGTGACTTCTCTCTTTGATTCTCTTGTATAAAGATCCTGGTTTAAAAGATAGGTTCGAGATGTAGTACTCGATTTAGAGACTCGTGGTGCATATTATTTTCTGTGTGTTGTCTTGTGGTAAAGATCATTATGACTTAAGAGATGTCGTTGCTTTTATGATTCTATTACGAATGATCCATTGTCACTTTAGGGTACAGACTTTGTCAGGCTTTGGATTCATGTTTGAGATTTATTTAATAGAGGTGTCTTGAGGAGTTTTTGATTCGATTAAAGTGACTTGATTTAGAGATCCTATAAATTTTGAGTTGTCAATTTTCTAAGTATTGAGGATTTAGGGCCTTAAGCGTGACAGTGCCTATGACATTGTTGTCAGAGTTTTGGGATTGGCCAAGGTGGTCCGGCCGGATATCTTTGGACTATACCCCAACTTTCACAAAATGCATGGTTCCCGTAGTGCTTTTGGTAATGATTATTTTTGACACTGATGTACTTTGTCTCGACAGGTTTCATGGGTAAGCTTAGTGGATGTATGTTATGAATTAGGGCTATTTACTATTAATGCTACCGTACCAAGTTGCATGCTATAGGCGGGTGCTAGTTACTGGCAATGCTACCTTCTAATGAGTTTGTGTGGGCGGGTGCTAGTCACTATCAATGCTACCATGCATTGGGGTACGCTGTAGGCAGGTACTAGTCGTTTAAGGGCATAGACTTGTTAGGCTTTTGTTTAAAATACAGCGTTGAACACCGGCCTTGGGTAGAATTACTGGCCTTGGTGTTCCTTGGAAGAGCTCCTTGACGTCCTCTTCTGTAAGAGTTTGCCTCATTATGGACTTCCTTAGACGGCTCTTGCTATCCTTTCCAATAAATTTGATTGGAATGAATTCTTCACTATATAACTCGGCATCAGCGTGATAAACTCTAGCCACAAATGGCCGGTTGTCAGCCTCTACTACTTTTACTTCATCTTCATTCCAAAAATAAGCATTTGATGAAGTGAAGATGGAATGAAAAAGTTAGGGTTAATCCATTTGTGGCCTCAAAGCAAGTTATAGGCCGCTGTGGACTCAATGGCGAAAAAGGCTGTAATTGAAGTTCTATCTCCCATCGTTAGTTCCAACGGCAGAATGCCTTGTGTCTTCACTATTCCTCTCGTGAATCCACTGATGGATACATCACTTGGAATGATGACTTCAGGCGACTTTCCAAGCATGCGTGTGCCATCAATTGGAACAACGTTCAATACTGAACTGTTATCCACCAGAACTCTTGCCAAAGGTGTTCCTTCCACTAGCACTTTGATGTATAGAGGTTTGAGCTGTTGAGTTATGCCATATGGTGGCTTTTCTAAAACTACCTTCTTTGGCTTCGTAGGGCTTTTTTCTTCGATCATAACTCCTTTTAATTTCTGAAGATGCTCAGCTTAATCCTCAAAGATTTCTTCTACTTGGGTATCATTATCCGGTTCTATTATGAATGGCCCGGAACTAGACTGTCCAGGGCTTTCCATGGGAAGACTTGTATCTATCACATTTCCTTCCATTGAAGTTGGTTGATTTAGCTGTGGCTCGAAAAATAAAGGGAGCACCACTACTATATTACAAGTAAACTCACCTGGAAGGATACCAAAATATATCTTCTTGTTGTTATTGGAATTGATGGAGATTTCTATGTCTGTTCCATCTTTCGTGGGAGGGCTGTCTGCTATCAAGGAGTTTTCAACCTCTGAAATAAGGTCTAGCAAGTCATCAAGATCTCTGTCTCCTTCTTTTACTGGATGTTCTGATAAGTTTGATGGCTTTGTTATCTTCTTTGGCCAGTTAGGCCAACCATGGTCTTTTTCCCATAACTTCTTTCTTTCAACCCTCTTCCTTTGCTGCCTCCATTTTTGTGTATAGGTTAAGGAAGAATAATTGTGAACAGGAAACTTGGGATGACCAACCCTCTTTTACCTTTCAAGTTACGAGGTGGGATGTTTAACCATTCTTGGACGGAAATGCTCATTCCCCTTATTGACAAATACTTCTTAGGCCAATATTGGCCTAGAATATCTATCACCTTTAGAGCTTCTGCCATGCCTACTGTTACTTTCATACTTTTTGATAGGACTGGACCTCGCCTCATAAGGAACCCTACCTTTTTCCGATCTCCTTATAAGGAATTCTGGTTTCATTGCTGCTGACCTTCTTTCTGTATAGATCCGACTTTCTTTCTCTGGAATGGTCATAGTAACTGTATTTTCCATCTTTTGGAAAGTTAGCCGGTTGGACCTTCCGTTTCTTACCTCGGTCACTGTTGGAAAGGCTCCCTTTCTACTTCTCTTTTGGAAAGTCTATGTGGCATCCTTCACTCTGAACTTTACATTTAGGGCAACAACCTTGCTGGAATAAGGCAATCTGAGCCTCTTGGAGCTGCCTTTCTAACTCAGCCACTGTTTTTTCCATAGGTGTTGCTTCTTTTGGATTTTTTATTTTTCTATTGGCCACTGGATCTACCAAGTCCACCTTTTTCCTAGGGTGTTCTGAGTCCAAAGAAGTGACATTTGTTGCAACAACCTTGGGGAAAGGATTTCCATTAACACCTATCACTTCTGACTTTTCTGAAAACTTCAACCTGCCATATTCAATTGCTTTATGCAAAATATTGCGAAAAATTACACAATTATTAGTGGAATGTCTCCACGAATTATGAAATTTGCAATACTCTTTCCTGGTAATTTCAGAGGCTGTTGGCATCTTTTGGCTTATTGTGAAGATTAGTTGCTTGTCGGCCACGAGCAAATCAAAATTTGCTCGGCTTTGGAACCAGAAGCAACCTGTAAGTTAACTGTAGCCATTTTCGGTTTTGCCAAGGCCTCACAAGTATAGGCCTTCTTTATGTTGAGCTCAGGTGTATTAACTTCCATGTCTCCTTCTATTTCAGTGGTGAACACCTTATAATTAAGATCACGATAGTAAGTGCCCTTAGAGGAAGTTTTTCGGTCTTGCCCTTCGTGAAGGAGTTCCTCGTACTTAGCCACTCTACCGGCTAAGTCAAATAAGTCATAAAATTATACTCCTTTAAACTTCTTACGAAGTTCCAACTCTAGGCCGTTCACAACCATTTTCACATATTCTTCTAGTGGGAAAGACAAATTGCATTTGTATTTGGCCCTCCTGAATCTAGAAAAAAAGCTGTCTATTAACTTTCTAGGTAGCTAATGAAGTCTGGAAAGATCTACCATGGACACTTTAGGCTCGGTACTATAGAACTGAGTATGGAACAAGTCCTCAAACTACTACCAACTTTGGATGGAGTTGGCTGGCAAGTTGGAATACCATCTAAAAGCATAGCCAGTCAGTGTATTCAGAAACAGGCATACCTTAAGCCATAGATTGGCTGCTGCTTCTCCACATTGGACAATGAAACGGCTAATATGTTCCAAAGTAAACTATTCGCCCTCTCCATTTAACGTTGCAAATTATAGAATTCTGAAATTTCTTGGAAACTCAACTTTATCAATGAACTCTAGATATGGCTTTTTATAGGTTGGTCTTCCACCCCTTCGAGTTGAGCCAAACTCTTTTTGGATGAATTCTGCAAATTGGCCTCTATCAAGTGCCATGGGCTGTGAAATGTTATTTTTTTGGCCAACCTTGTGGTTGGTTCATCCCTTGATGCACCTGACCTACCATTAGTAGTGAGTTGGCATCTGCATAGTTGTTCCTACGACAGTTCCTTCCTTCTTAGGCTAGAGTGGCTCCCTTGGAAAAGGTTGCTCCCCAACTACCATAGGAATGGCTAAATGTGGCCTTGGGGGTGTAGTTGCTGGTGGTTAAATGTTCACAGGTGGAATATTCTGTTGTGTTTGAGGAATGTGGTATGGCCATGATTGGCCAGGTAGCTCATGCCAAGTCTCCTATGGAAATGCCATAGGTGGAGGGTTCTGAACTTGCTGAATGACTGGCATAGGCGCTGATTGTGGAATGGTCATCTGCGTCACTAGAGAAGCCATAGGTGCAACTGGAATCTAAGTTTGTGCCATTTAAACAACTGCATCTGCTGCTGATTTTGGATGGAATGACCCTACATGTTGTTGAGAGGGACTGCCTTCAACAAATGTAGCTAGCCTATTGACTTGGAAGGTTGGCTGTTGAGTCTTTTCAGAATTGTTTGGCTGAGGGGCCATAACTTGAGCCAAGCTTCCAAAGGACCGTTGCAATATAGATTTGAACCTGTGAGAGATTTGGTCCACTATTTTTGCTAGCTTCCACTCTTGAGAATAAGCGGCTTTTGATTGGTCTTCCGTAAATCGATCTTGTTGCATAGCCATCATGCGGATATTATCTATAATGGGTCCATTTGCCATTGTTTGAGCAAACTTTTCCACCATATCTCTTTTATCAGGTGCAAATCATAAACTGTCGACTGCAAGTTCACTGGTTTGCATTTTTTCTATTTTGGTAGGGTCTTGGACAGACTTGCCTTGCCTTGCCTTCTTCCACCGGTTATTGAACAATCTATCTAGATGTCTCGCCGGGAGTGCCAATATGTTCGGTTCACGAAAAAGCGTTGGTTTCGCTTTCCGTGGTGTGTGGAGCTAGAGTAGATGTGTGGGTTATACGGACGTGCTAAGACCTACTGTTGTTCCAAAGTGGATATCTGAACAATATTCTAGTTTGAGATTGTAGGGATCAAACGATTGTATGAAGGTCTGGAATGATCACATTCGAAGGTTCTTTTTACCTTTAAAAAAGGACTTTTGGACTACTCTATGGCTAATAAAAAGGAAGACGATACTAAAAGTACAAATGCTAAAATTAAAAAAAGGAAGTTCAAGTGCTGAAATTGAAGAAGGGAAGTGCAAGTGCTGGAATTGAAGATATGGAAAACAATTTAACGAAAAGTAGTGAAAAGAAGTACTGGACTTAACTCAAACATTATGAGAATTTATTGCTGAAATGAATGCTATATAGAATAACAAAGTACTGGACTCAACTTAAAAGAATGTAAATTCATTGCTGGAATGAGAAATACATGAAATAGTAAAATGTTAAATTTAGACATAATGTAAATTCACTGCGAAAATGAAAGGTATATGAATAGTAAATATGTTGTATTGATGTGTTGTGTGCGTTGAGTAGGATTTGCAAGTTAAGCCTAAGTACCCTATTTATAGACTTTTTCTATGCAACAATTTGATGTGTGGCAATTTCAGCATCTTCCACGTGGCCTTTCCTTAGACTGCCAAGTGTCCTATGATCTTCCATCCTTCTCTCAATGTTGACAAGTGTAAAATCATGTTCTCCCATAATCTACAACTAATAAATAGTGGTCTTTGGCAGTTGAATGCATGTTTGAAAGCCTTTATCTATGATCTGAAACTGTCCAGATGGAAATGCGGCAGTTTCCAGCAGCAGTTAAAAACTTCCACTTGGAAGGTCTGCATTATGCCATGTGTCCCATGTCTTCCTTAGTCTTCTCCCCCATGCGTGGTCCTCTCCTTTATTTCAGCCTATGATTCCACTAATTTAGCTCTGTTATCTATCACCTTCGACAACTTTCCTCAGTTAGTGGTAGTTACCATATGAAGTACCACCACTTTCAACTGACTTATTTATGTTTAGCCAAGTGTCCTATGATCCAAGAAGTATTTCCATTCACAGAGACCTTCCCACATTTCCCTTATCTTTTGGTAACTTCTTTTACCCAGACTTTCATTCCTTTCATGGCATCATGGCACCTTCTTTCAGCAATTTCTCCTTCATGGGTTATATCTGATATATAAATATATATACATAAATATATATCCATAAATACAGACTATTCCCCACATCCTTTTTTCTTCGGAAAACCATGTTTCCCTGACTTTGGCAACTTTCTTCTATTTGGACTTTCTTGATTAGTCTTGGCTTTCATTGTATCATGGCCCCATGATTTCAGCGACTTCTTCATCGTGGGTAATATATATATATATATATCCATAGATATAAATCATTGCCACGATCTTCTGCCAACCACGTTCCCTTGTATTTTGGTAACTTCCCTTTTTGAAACTTTCCTTCTGGGTTTGGAGTTCATGGCGCTATGTAATCCTTTATTTTAACAGCCTCTTCATCGTGGGTAGTATTCAAGTATATATATATATCTAGAAATATATACTTGCTATTTTAAACCATCACCCACTTATGTTGCCAACTTAGCTGAAGTAGTTGTTTGGATTCTCCTAAAAACATGGAGAAAATCCAACCTCACGTTTTGCTTGGTCAACTCTGGCCTTGACGTAATTGAAAACCTTCCTTTTACTTATGATTCTTTGAAAGCACAATCTTTTCATGCAACTTCCATAATACCAACTCTTAAAAGAATTGATCCACTGTGATCAACACCGTGGTATGCTCAGTAGAACTCGCTATGTGTGAAAAATAATTCATTGGATGAACCTTGACTTTGGATAATTGTATGAGGATGCATGTAGTTTAGTGTTTCCCTATTATAATTTCTTCATTCCAAAGAGAAAAATGTGGGCCCTTGCTATAAAGATGGCAAGTCTTAATAGAACTCACCTCTTTCCTTTTAAAATAGAAGGCTCCATGTAGTGGGATTTAATTAGCCCTCCTATTCCTTGCTTTCATATGAGATCACATAATACTCTAAATAGGATTTTTCTAGAGTTGCGATCTAGTGTGGCAAGCATGCCACATACTTCTTCCTTATTGGTGGATCATATCCAATCTATTTTCAATAATTTCACATCATATATTCCTCTTTTGGACATTTAAAACATTAATCCAATGTGGCAAGCTTATTGGAACTCGCCACATGTCGCCTTTCCATTGGGCCAAAAATAATGAGATAAACATATATATATATAAATATATATATATTTTGTACACCACCGAAGAAAAAAAGAGGAAAGAATTTTAAAGGGTTATTTGGTCCTGAAAATTTATATTTTAAAGTTTCAAAAATGTAAGAAAGAAACATTAATTATAACTTTCATAGTTGGTATTTCAACCAATTAGAGATGCGCGCAACTATCCTAGCACTCTTTTATTATGATATACATATAGATAAAAAGGAAAGAAAATACTAATAAGGTAGAAGGAAGTAAAATTGTGTTAAGGTACAAAAGAATTTGTGCCTTTAAACGCAAGGGAATAGGAACAGTCGATTACCACATTCGGTTTCCTTCAAAGACGACACAAAAAGTATCATTTTTATAGTAATCTCCATCCTTCACTGTGAATAGAATGTTAAATACATAGTTATCTACATTACCATGATATTGATGATTATAGTTGGGTAAGCCATTCTCCCTATCTTACCTTGAGAAAGAGTTTTAACCTCGGCTACAATTTCCCTTGAATTTTCAATTTGACACACTGTTACACTTTTCTCCTTTTTATTAAAACCACGATCAAGCCGAGAAGTGTAATATTTGTGCAAAGAATTTTCACTCATTTTTTCAAAAAGGTGCCAAATGTCATCTTCATGTTTTCCAAAATATGAACCTCCACATGAGGTATCAACTATATCCTTTTGCATGTCGGATAGGCTTTCATAGAAGTATTGGACAACTTGCCATTTTGGAATACCATGATGTGGACACTTTCTTAGTAAGTCATTTAATCTCTCCCAAGCCTCATGCAATAACTCTCCTTCCCTTCGAGAAAATTCTCTAATTGAAGCACACATTACATTGGTCAAACTTACGGGGTAAATTTTTTAAAAAAACTCATTTTGCATTTGTGCC